ATTTCATGTCATCTTTAAGAGGTCACTTAGCTTAAGTTGTATTTTTATGTTTATATTATCATTTCATTCTAACTTTAATGAATTTTTACACCATACTTTCATTATTATATGTAAATGTGTTTTTACCAGCTTAAAGGTCAGGACATCCCACATCCTGGAAGTGCAAAGGATAAGATTGTTGCTGCTGTAGTGCAACTACTGAGTCTCTCGATACATTCTTGGCTGTAGTGCATGTTGTACTCCACTTTAATGTTATTTTATCTTATATTCACATATTGATACATACTGTTGCACTCTTCAGTCCTCCATATTTGATTTACCCTCTCACCATAATTTACCATGTAATGTTTACATTTTAAAATGCGTTATATTTTATTAACACGAGTGTATACGTATTTGCTTAATGTCGTAATATTACCACTTCTGTCGAGTCCTTTGATGTACAGTTTTTTCACAGGAAACCTCTTCACTATCTTTGGACCACCCATTTTTTTAAACTGTATTGTATAATGCTTATAGAATTTCCCTTTGTACAAGTCAGTTTTTGTTTATTTCATATTTGCATTTAATTGTTTTTACCCATCTGCATCTCAATTTTTAAACACATTTTGAATGTAGACTGTTAACCATTTCACTGTCCAGACTCCCCAAATTAATATTGCTCCCATTGTCCACTTAAAAAAGTAAATCTTCTGAAACTGTAGAGGTTCTTTTTCTGAAGGTAATGACACTAAAAGTACAAAATTTGATGGAAAACTTACAGAATTATGCTGGTGCAAAGTTAGTGGTTAGGTTCGTCAGGAAACAGGACAAGTATTTCCTGATGCTGGTCTTAGATAATGACCTGCCATTGGAGTTAGTGGTCTGGGCACAATTTACACATCTGCTAGTATGCCTTTCATTCTATCAAATGAGCACAAGAAACCACCTATTCCCTTATCTCAACTACCCTATAACACAGAAGTCAGTAATTTGGCCAATTTTACAGAAAATTTAAAAAATACCAGTTTAAAATTAGAGTGCAAAATAAACAATGTAGACATTCCTAAACTAAAATATTTCCTCTGTTCATTAATCACATCCCCACACCTCTCCTGTATTACACTTGCTTCCATTTTGAATTCATAATCACACACAAAAAAAAAAATGGAGGATTTACTCATTTCCTGGATAATAAAATATAACCAGAAATGGTTGGTCATGATATACAGCATCCCAATAATTCACTCATACCTACTAAAAACCCATAAAACAGACTAGGGGGGGTTAGGGAGGCCTTGCCTGTCCTCAGGAAAATTGGCAAAACTGATATTTCCTCTGCTTTGAGCCCAATTTCAGGCTACTTCTGGTCCTGAAACCAAACAAAATCATCTCTATTTCAGTAGCTTGATTGCTAGTGCACTCAGCTCACACACTGAGGTCCAGGGGTCGATCCCCGGTACAGGTGGAAACATTAGGATGTGTTTCCTTAAGACATCTGCTGTCCATGTTCATCTCTGCCCGAAATGCCTAGCCATGCTAAGCGTTCTAGTGGTACACTCTGTAATCACAATTTTACTACATGTAAACCACACAATAACCAAATTTCTGTAAACTCAGCATTGTAATCCTTATAGAGAATAAACTTTGAATTGAATTGAATTGAATCTATCAGTAAAACAGGTACCTGGGTGTTAGTCAACTGGTGTCGGTTGCATCCTGGCCACAAAATTGACCTAATTTGCCCAAAATGCTCTGCAAAACAAGGGGCTTTCTATATACGTACAGTGGAACCCCGAATTTCAGCCCTAATCCGTTCCAGGAGCAAGGTCTAAAGTCGAAATGGCCTAAAGTCGAAGCAATATTTCCCGTAAGAAATAATGTAAATCCAATTACATGTAATGCATTCCACCCAAAAATATTCACAAAAAATTCATTTTTTTAAAGAATAAATATTATAGGTTTTACATACAGAAAACAATGAGAAATAAATGTAAAACACTAATTTTAATGGATAAATGAACATTTAAATCAGTTTTACCTTTATTGAAGACTCTTATTGGCATATGAGAGAAGCAGGAGAGTTTGTTTGAAGTCAGGACAAGATAATCCTTCAATATGACACTAATATCAACTCTACAGCTTATTTATCTAGCACAATTCATCTAATATGACATAATAAACAATATTAATAACATAGAAACATGATATATACTCTAAAATGAATAAAATATGTCATATGTCTCTCTCCCTAATTGACGAGTGTTGCTGTGTTGTTTGTTGCTGGGTGTATAAGGGCACTGAAAGATAAACCTTACATAGTGGTGGTGATGATGGCAGCAGAGATGGCGGTGTTGTCAGTCACCCTATACAACTCCAACAACATTGGAGGAGTCAGTTTCGTGCTGTCCTTTTTCTATCGATTAATCGCTTAACTTACTTACTACACTTTATCGCTGGCTGGTGCTATAGCCTTTATCGACTCACGCTGCTTTAGTATCATACATATCATAGAATCACTGAAGAAGGCACATTCTTCCCTCTCTCTTCCTCCTCCACTTTGGTAATTTGCTACAATTTCTTTCTTCAATTCTATTGTGTTTCTCACTTTCTTTACCAAAGGGCTGCCACTATGAAGTTTCTTTGGGCCCATTGTGGCTTATTTCACCATCACAATCAATAAACAAGCACTAAACACAATGAATTTATTTTGAAATGTTTGGATGAGCACGCAGAGTAATGTTCACTCAAGGATAAACATAGCTAGACTGGCTCACAACGCCTGCGTGGACAGGCAGACAGGTCTGGTATGCCGACCGAAACACAGGGCACAGGTCGAAACTTGGGACAAAATTTAGCAGAAAAAAGCAGTCGAAACTCGAAGCAGCCAATACTCAGGGCAGCCGAAACTCGGGGTTCCACTGTAGTAGTATGTCACTGATGTCAGCTAGGACTGTACACCTTGTACATGTACTTGTAGAAATAAAAATTATTATTATTAGTGGTGGTAGTAGTAGTAGTATGTACTCAAATCTATCAAATGATACCAAGAAACAGCCAATAAAATCATAAAATCATCCTAGAAAACACCTCAAAGTCGCTATTTTAAAATTATCACATGGTCAGAGTTTTTTCTTTTCCTATCATGCACTGTGTGCAGCAAGATTTTTTTTATACTGTGCACTCACTCTCATTGCATAGACCCATTTTCTCATATCTAAACTAAAATTTACTGCTCACAGCTTATGTAAATGAGCTGAGCTCATGACGTAGAACTACGTGAGGGACCCCTGGCCTCAATGACATAGTTCTTTGTGATGGTCACTGAAAGTGTTAAGTTAAATTTTAGTTGTGATAAATAATGAGAAAACTGTATTAAATACCAGTATTAGAATTATAATGTCAAGATATGTATTTTTAGTTCATCTCACAGGTTGAAAGCTGCCTGCTGTATACCAACCATTTTGAAACAGAGATTGGTATTTTTATGTTTATTCCTTACTCAAGAGCTTTCAATATCAAAATACGCTGTACTTTACAAGATGTCAGCATTTCATTTTGTGTGTCCTCGGCCTGAATTGTATTGTGGAATGAGCATTCTAAATGTGATTGGTATGCTGAAAGGCAGATGATTTGCCACAGGTGTTCTTTACTAGACAAAGCAGAAGCAGATAGTGCAGGTTGCTTGGACATTGTGTATTGTGATCTCTCTCTCTCCCTCTCTTTCTCTCTGCCTCTTTTTAATTAAATTAAGCATACATAACTGTAAGGGGATTGTTCATTGTGTTGCATGATATGATGTCACGATAGCTAGGTATACCATATACTCCTTACATTGTATGTAATCTAAATTCAGTTAATATTTGTAATGCTTGGCATTAACTTTGTTCAGTGTATTGAAGTAATTTTTAGTGTACTATTTTTCTCATAATTATTCCTGTGTGGTATGTGGTGAAAGTTTACCGTATCATAACTAGATGTACGCTTATTAACCGATACAGCCTTTTGTGTCTACTTAGGTCTGGTGTCCATGAAGAGATCTTTTGTATCTACAGTATTTAGGTCTGATGGCCTTGAGAAGATGTACTCACTCACAGTTCATTTACCACTATTGAAAGATTTTAATGTATGCCAAATTTAACTGCATTACTTAACTTGCTTTGCATATCTTGCCTTATGGAGCTGGCCTGTATTTTCAGATGGTGGCCAAATGCTTCTACTCCCTCCCCTCCCTTGTTCTGTCAGTTATATAAATAAATTAAAAGTCTGTACTTCAGTAATTTAGTCATAAATTTAATTGGTTTATTTACCATTTAAATTTCAGCAGGATTTGATACTTCAGCCTTATTTATATTAAAATATATCATGTTAAAACATTGGAACCCCCGAAAGCTTTTCATCTCTGGTTTTGAATGATTGTCAGTGAAGCCATCTGCTTGTTCTACATTTTAGGGTTCAGAAATATAGAAAAAAGTAACTATCAGTAAACATTTACCTTAACGAGAGAGCAATTAAACTATTGACTCATGTTATATTAATAATGCTCTTACTAGATTGCAATACACAAAAAATTTATTTCCATGCACAGTTTATTTGGTGATATTAATGGAGCTGTAAATTATAATAGGCATTGTCTTATACATGACACTTAAATGCTTGAATTCAACTCTGGCCATTGCAGCTGTTCATATTTTTGTTTAGAAAATGATAGTTCTACTGTTATGCTGTGCTCATTGTATTTTTTGGCATCATGGGTTACCTTCAAGCATTGTTTATATATGAGACATTTTGGAAAGCTCATCCAGATCACCCACCAAGAAAATCAAGAGTTGGATGTGAAAAATAAGTATGGTACTTGGAAATGTGATCAAGGCCATTTCTATCACATACCCCTCAAGTTACTTTCAGAGATGTGTGACAAGACATAGTTTGTTCTTGTAATATTCGACTCCAAGAGTCTGAGAAGACATCCAGGCTGAATCTTCGCCATCTATAAATTTGCATCCCGTTTACTACCCTAGGGTGGCCAGAGATATGACTGCATCCCTGCTGATGCCACCACCACCCCCTCCCCCTCCGACCGAGGCCCTCCAGGGTGCTGGGGGTACTGCAAGAGGGCGGGAGGAAACCCCAGAGCCCAGCATGAAGAGACAAAGATCATGTAGCCCGCAAGGTTTGTACCCACTCATCCGTCTGGTCTCTCTTGACAGACTAATTGAAGCTGTGCTGAGGAGGAGTGTAGCTGAGTATGTCCACTGTTGCAGATGTCCTTTTAAGAACACCAAGGCAGGCTAGGAGCATGGTGAAGCACTGCAATATATGCAGTCTATTCTTCCCTTATACTCATAAGTACTCTCTTTTCCAAGAAAAATCTTCATACAGACTTTTATTACTACTGATATCTATTGCACCCTTCAGGCAGTTGCTATTGTTTTCCTACTCCTGTTTTGAAATATTGTCAACCTTTTATATAATTTTAGGCATGTATTAGTTAATATTTTTATGGCTTTTCCTATAGCCACCTTCAAAAACAATTTTTGACTCCCCACACTATTTTAACTTTGGTTCCACCATTGTAAGGAGCTGCTTGTATATAATTTTAGAATAATGTAGTGTTGTATAAAAGTAGATTTAGTTTATATATATCTTAGAAGAGATAGTCTTCATTAACATAAACAGTGTTTTTGAGAGTTATGCTGAAGTAGTAGAGGTTTTTTTTTAAGTTTTACTATTGAGTCAATACTACTACTGAGATGGCATAACAAATTTTTATTGAATATTTTAAAGTACTGTACAATTACATGCTTTTCTCAAGCTTTTTCTTTCTTTTTTTCCAAATTTTATTTCATTCAGATTTGTGTGTATTTTGATAGGCTTCTTATCTAGAACTGTACAGTATATGCAAGAGATAGCTGTAAATTCTTAACTATTATTTTATTAAGCATTTAGGCCTTTTCAAGTACCATATCCTCAAACTTTTTTCTTAACATTATTAATGACAAGCAGGTATAAACTACTTTGGAGGAACCTTTTTTCATTTGTTAGGCACATATTGCAGCTGAGCAGAAGTGAAGGTGATGCAATAGTTTGATTTCTTTCCTAGTTGAAATTTTACCTTTAATTTTTTTTAGATAATACATTTGCCTATCTCTGTAGATGAATAGACCTTATGTAGGTGAAGCATAATGCAAAAAAGACCATTCCACCTGGCCATCTTTAACTTGTTCAGTTGCTATGCAAGCTAATTTATTTGGGATATCCTTCAATGTCCAGTGATACCAGTACAGTATTACTTTTTCTTTATTTTTAATTTTTTATATTAAGATCATTTCAGATATAGTATACTGTATCTTAGTCACATGAAGTAGATTTAAGTGTTCTGGTCTCTCTGATTATTATTGTTGGCATTTCTTATCCTAAAGCCCTCAGGAAGTCTATTGGTTTGGTCATTTTTAGCAACATTTTGCAGGAAGCTGGTAGCTGCGATCCAGTATATCTTCAGAGCCATCCCTCCCTTTTTTTTTGAATTATTACTTTCATAGGCAATAAACTTTTTTTTTTCTTTTGTTTAACATTTACTTTTAAAAGATAATAGCTTTAAATCTCCATTTTTGTAGTAAATGTTAGTCCAAATCATTTACTTTCTAACACACACAATTTTTTTAATCCCAGATGAAAGAAAGGCAGCAAGAAGATCAAATGGAGAATCAGGTAAGATACCTTATATTGCTAAATTTAGGTGTGTTTCCCATAGACATGTGTATTTTTTTTTTTTTTTTTGTGTCACTGAGATAATACAAGTCAATCCTGTTGCTACTGTTTAAGCATGTTACCAATACAGTCTCTCCTCACTTAACGATGTGCTTGTTTACCAAGGACTCAGACTTACGATGGGCTCTCTGACCAGTATGCATACCTAAATACAGTGGACCCCTGGTTATCGGCCGTAATCCGTTCCTGAAGGTCGGCTGATAACCAAATTAATATTTCCCATAAGAATTAATGGAAATAAAATTAATTCATTCCAAACAAAAATATTCACAAAAATTATGTAAGTATTACATACCTTTATCGAAGGCTAATGCTGGCTTCTGGAAGATAGGGAGGAGGAAAGAGGGAGGAGTTAGTGTGTGGAAGGGGAATCCCCCTCCATGAAGACTAGGTAGCAATGCCTTCTCTGTCTTTTAATGCCACTAGGGCCAGCTTGAGAGTCACTGGACCCCTGTCTCACAAAATAACTGTCCAGAGTGCTCTGTTTCTGGCATCTCTTTAAGATTTCCCTGAAGTGGGACAGGGTTTTGTCACTAAACATGTTGCAGATATGGCTTGTTTCAGCTTTGTCAGGGTGGTGTTTCTCTACAAAAGCTTGCACCCTGGCCCACATTGCACACACCTCTTTAATCTCTGAAGAAGACCCCTCCTTCACTCCCTCTTCCTCCTCCTCTGAAGCAAGTTCCTCAGCTGCAGTCTGTTGATGTTCAAGTTGAAGCTCTTGCAGCTCTTCAGTGGTAAGCTCTTCCCTGTGGTCCTCCACCCACTCTTCCACATCCTCACCACTCGCCTCCAACCCCAGGGACTTCCCCAAAAACACATTTGAGTCCACAGGGTTGGCAGGGTCAGGGTCACAGTGAGTCTCAAACCCTTCAAAATCCCTCTCTTGGACACAGTCTGGCCACAGTTTTCTCCAAGCAGAGTTCAAAGTCCTGGAAGTCACTCCTTCCCAAGCCTTACCTATAAGGCTTATGCAATGGAGGATAGTGAAGTGATTCCTCCAGAACTTTCTTAGGGTCAGCTGAGTGTCCGAGGTCACTTCAAAGCACTTTTGAAACACTGCTTTTGTGTAGAGTTTTTTGAAGTTAGAAATGACCTGCTGGTCTATGGGCTGGAGGAGAGGAGTGGTGTTAGGAGGCAAGAACTTCACTTTTATAAAACTGAAGTCCCTAAACACATGGTCTTCCAAGTCTGGAGGATGTGCAGGAGCATTGTCCAATAACAGGAGGCACTTGAGTGGCAATTTCTATTCCATGAGGTATTTTTTCACACTTGGGCCAAACACATCATTAACCCACTCTTTGAAAATTTGCCTTGTGACCCATGCCTTATGATTAGCTTTCCACATCACACACAATCTATTCTTCATGACATTTTTTTTCTTAAACACTGGGATATTCTGAGTGATACACAAGTAAAGGCTTCACTTAGAAATCCCCACTAGCAAAACGCACAACAAAAGAGTAAGCTTGTCTTTCATAGGCTTGTGTTCTGGCAGTGCTTTTTCCTCCTGGGTAATGTAGGTCCTGTTTGGCATTTTCTTCCAAAACAGGCCTGTTTCGTCACAACTGAAAACTTGTTGGGGTTCAAATCCTTCAGCCTTTACATAGTCCTGGAATTCGTGAACATATTTTGTCAGAACTTGCAGCCTCACCATGCCTTACAACACTGTGTATGCCACTATGCTTCTTAAATCTATCAAACCATCCTTTGCTGGCCCTAAATTCACAAATTGCAGCATTTGTTCCAGGCATTTTCTTTGCAAGATCCTCATGCAACTGCTTTGCCTTCTCACAAATGATCGACTCCACTACACTGTCTCCCACTAATTCTTTTTCCTTAATCCACAATAATAATAACTTTTCCATCTCTTCCATTATCAGTGTCCTTTGTTTAGTTAGTTTTGCAACATTAGCATCTTTGATTTGTTCTTTCTTTGCCAGGATGGATGTAATTGTTGATTTATTCTTGCTGTACATCCTGGCAAGTTCCACCACCTTCATACCACTCTCAAACTTTTCTGTCACTTCACGCTTAAATTCCATGTTGTTTCTTACTTTCTTTACCACAGGAACTTTACTAGGAACTTTCTTTGGAGCGATGGTTACTTATTTCACAGTTGCACTGCAAGAAAAACCACTAAAAACAATGGTAAACAAGCAAAATGTTTGGATGTATGAGCAGAAGCTTCCTCAGCCACCGAGAGACAAAGCCAAACTGAAGCACAAGCTGCCCCAGCTGGCAGATGGATGCGTCCAAAACGGCCGATAACCGAGCGAACAGCCGATAACCAAGTTGGCCGATAACCAAACCAGCCGATAACCAGGAGTCCACTGTACTGTATATTAGAGCTGATTTCCTGTATTCTGTTTATTTCAGTATACAGTACACTACTGTATAAACATTTAACTCTTTCAGGGTCCACAGGCCCTCTCAGAGACTTGTTCTCAGGGTCCCCCAAATTTCAAAAAAAAAAAAAAATTCTTAAGAAAAGATAGAGAATCTTTTCCCGATCATAATGACACCAAAAGTATGAAATTTGATGGAAAACTTACGGAATTATGCTCTTGCGGAGTTAGCGGTCTCAACGATGTTTACGCATCGGCTATTTTGCCCACTTTGAGCCCTATTTTCAGCCAATTCCAATGTACTAGTCGACAAAAATCATAACTATTTCGCTAGAACTCCATTTTTTCTATTGATTGAGTACAAGAAACCACCAATTTACCAATTTCAATTATCCAATACAGTGGTCAGAATTTAGCAATTTTGCCAATTTCACACAAATTTCAAAAGATGCCAATTTCCAAATAGGGTCCAGAATAAACAAGAAAGACATTCCTGGCACTAAAATAACATTTCCTCTGTTCATTAGTCACGTCCCCACGCCCCTCTTACATTCTTTTGCTTTCCATTTTGAATTTTTATTCTCACAAAAAATAGAAGATTTACTGTTATGCAGACTACTGCATTAGTGTAGAAATGGTATAAATAATATCGGCGCACCTGTGAAAGAATATTAGACTCACCAGTTGACGTGTATTGGACGCTTAGGATGATTTGTTTACTTTTGAACTTTGGTAAAATTGAACATTTCTGCTACTTTGAGCTCAATTTCAAGGTACTTTTCATTGCAAAACCAGTCAAAACCATCTCAATTTCTGTAATATGTCTTCCATTCTATACAATGAGACCAGGAAAACTAGAATACAACAATAAATACCATACGAAAATACAGTGCAAAGTCGCTATTTTAATCCAAAAACACGGTCAAAGTTTTTTTTTTTCTCATTACGCACTGTGTGCTGCAGGATTTTTTTTATACTGCGCACACTCACCACATAGACCCATTCTTTCATATGTAGGCCTACCAGCTTTCTCTCACTAGATTTGAAGGCGCTAGAATTTATGAGTATAGTACGTCATGGACCCTGGTGCATAAGCCGTACTAGTATGGCCGAAACCCTGAAAGGGTTAAAAATATACCAGAAATATTATAAATGGTGCAAAGGTGACATTAACCCGTAAACGGTCCGAACGTATATATACGTTTTTTCAATATTTGAAAGTATGTAAAAAAAGTAGATCTTCTTTTTGTTTTTCTACATTTGAAAATATGTAAAAAAAAATTAGATCTACTTTTGTAGCACTACACATGTGAACGTAGATCTGCTTGGACCGTTTACGGGTTAAAACAATATCAAAGATGGTTGACACAAACCCACTCTGATCATAGTATGCTCCTCACTTAGCGACGAATTCATTTACCGACAAGGTCTCGGGAACAGATCTCCGTCATTAAGTGAGGAGAGGCTGTATAAGGGAATGATTGGCGGACGTGAGATTCAAGGTTTCAAAGAACTTTAATGGAAAAATTAAACTGCATGGCATTCTAATCTGCAGTCATCAAAAAAAAAAATTGTATTCAAAATTGACTGCAGTGGAAATGCTGAATGATCAAGCAGGGATTACATCTCTCAAATTCTTGAGAGTAAGAGCTTTGTAAGCAGAAATGTAAGAGAGTTATAACATTCCAGTTAGAGTCTAATAAAGGTAAGGTCAGGTGCATCAGTATAGTGAATAACTTCTGAATTGCATCACTTCTGGTAAATACAACTTCATTAGTTATAAGAGTAGTGATTCAGACAGGGAAAGATTTGATTTTTGTAGAATTTACTTACAAGAAGTTAATCATTAATTGAAAAATCAAGAGAATTACCAATGTTTTGTAGGCTTTCTTGGCAGTCCGAGAAATGAGGATTCCAAGATGATTAAGTGTAATCTAGATGCTGAGAGAGACACTGTACTTTGCAAGTTTTATGACAATTGATGCGAGTCTACATTAGTGCATTATTAACCCATGTTTACTGGGAAAATAAGACAGTATTCCTTATTGCTGATTGATAACAAATATCCCCCCAAAATTCCATCATCATTATACTGGAGAATGTACTGTAATTTTGTATACAAACAAATTCTATTTCTAATTAATTTGTTGCAGATGATTCAGCAACACATGAAGGCAGTGGGCCGGCCAGATCAAGTGGACCAGATGCTGCTACATCAGATGGCTCATGTGGACCATTCTCTGGCCCTGGGAATTTTCAAGGTGGACCAGGCAGTTTTCCTGGTGGTGGCGCTAACTTCTCTGGTGCCCCAGGTGGATTCCCAAGTGGTCCTGGATCATACATGGGCCCAGGAGGGCCCTGGGGTTGGGGACCAATGCCTGGACCATATTCTGGCATGCCAATAGGGCCAAACCCTTTCAATAGACCACCAGGCAGTGGTATGGCCAACCCACAGGCTCCATACAGTAGAAGTTTACGAGACCGATCTGATGGAGAGGATAGTGGCAGTGGGAATCGGCGGGGTGGAAGAGGAGGTGGAGGCAGAGGAGGGTTCAGTATGGGAGGTCGGGGTGGGAGGGATCGACGCTGGTGAGCTGATCAGTGTATAATATTTTTAATATTTGTTTGTGTATATATGAAGTGAGTCACAGTGCATTTCTCTTTCTGTTATGTTTATTTATGTAAAAGCACACATTTCAAAAAAGTGTGTTTTGTTATTCATTACACAATTCTTTTTATGTGTGATTTAAAACAGTATTTAATAACAATAATGTCCAGTGCTAAGTAGTATTCTGTACTGGAATAAATCTCAAGGAGTATGCAAAATGCTAGGATATGGAAGAATATTTGCTTTAAAAAGCATCATACTGTATCAAGATATTACAGTATATTGTAAATATATGGTAGTGGAGTAATAAGAATGGCCTTAATCTGCTGACCTCATAAGCATGAGGTAAGCACATTACAACTGCACTATGATGCCAACATTACAAGATAGGAGCAGTGATAATGTACTTGCCACATGCAAGTGGGACTGACAGATCTAGGGCTACGCAACACCTTCCTCCTCATATTGTTACATTCATGATAGTTTGAAAGTTTAGTTTGTAAATTTTATTTGTCTGGATAACTATTTTTGGTGGAGGTTGAGAGATTTAGCTAAAAATTTATTCAGAAGTCATAATGACACGATTGTAAACAAACCATACCACTGGCGGGGATAGAACCCACGATCATTGTCATAAAACTCAAGACCAACACGCATCAGTCTGGAGTTTTATGATTCTTTGATTGCGGGTTCTATCCCTGCCCAAGGTATGGTTTATTCAGGTCAAAAAATTTGAACACTGGCCTTAAATAATTTAACCTGAGAATTAGTCAAACTTGTGAGTTTCTGTACATAACAGTATATTTCATAATCATGGAAAAGCACTAAACCTGTAAGGGTCATATGAGGTGTTGTGTATCAGAAAAAAAATTAATGCCACCATTGCCAAAATCTAGGTTAGTGAACAAATTAATTCCTTAATGTGTTGATATTGTTTCCTGCATCTGTAAGTTAGGCTCAGAGTCCCATAATAGTATGGTAACTGAGCTTCCTAGCTATGCACTCCACAAAGCCTGCATTTTTCTCCATTGTTTGAATTTGGTGCTTATTCTTTTCTGCTGTGCAACACTTCATACAGTATGTACATAACAGTATCCCTAGGAAAAAAACACTATAATGAGAACAATGTGTGATGTAACATGTAAATAATGAACCTCTAAGCATATGGCTGTGGACTAGTGATTATTATGCATACAGCAAAACGTTACAACATTGCTCAATAATGAATAGTTAAAAACTCTAGTACCGTATGGTACAGTACAATTGAGGGGTATAAATGGTTTCTTAGTGCTTATTAAAGTGTGTATGGACGATATTGTAAAATAAAATTACATTTCATAGTTATTTGTTAATGTCTGCTCAAAGGCATTTGAGCGCCACCAAATGATGTTGTTATATATAAACGGTGTAAATGCAAAGCCTTATACAAAATAGATAATTTATTAGTTTCTTTTTCCTTTTTCTAACCTCAGAAACATGCAGACTAGTATAACTCTCTAACTATGGTAGGATGAAATATCATAAGTCTCCTATCCTAAAATGAAACTGGCGTAAGATGACTAAATATCATTTAACACAAGAAACATTGTGGTAATAAAGATGATGGCAACCAATTTATTTAACCAAACATGGTGTCATTACATTTAACCAAGAATGGCAACCAATATTATTTAACCAAGAGCACCAACCATGGAGGAGGGACTCATGTATATGGTGGAAGTGATTACACTTTTTGTCATTGGCTCTGACAGTGCCAGTGGTGAAGGGGGAGGGAGGTTTGCAAACATTAAGCAATGTACTGTAAGTGCTGTATGATTCTTGAGGACCTAGCATTTTTCATTAATAATATAATCTAAGTGCTGTCATCGTATAGAGGCTCGAATACAAGGTTCTGCTTACCTAGACATACAGCTTGACACTAGACATAAGTAATCTAAACCTTTGATTTTACTTTAATGATGCACAACACTGACAATATGACGAAGACAGATGCAGCACTTGGGCACTGCCTAAATGTGTTTAGTGCTGAAATTTATTACGTTATATATTGCCAAAATCCATATAGGTTTAGCACTTAGCCTAATTATATTGTTGCCAAAACATTTTTACCTGTACAGTAGGTTTCTTCAGTTGAATACAGCTGTATAATCCTAGTGGGTTTAGCGCTTCTTTTTTATTATTATAATAATAATCACTCGAATATAGAGGTGATTATAATACTGGAGACAGTGAAAGAAGTGATATAAGTTTAACCTTCCTAGGTTGCCAGTCACGTAGCCTATGCAGACTCATGAGAAGAAAAACTGCTATACATGTACAGTAGCTGGAGATGGTGGCCACAGGTGGGGCCCACTAGTGGAAATAGGTCATGCCAAACGGTTAGCAATAGAATTAAGGAATACATCCCCTGTGCCAAGATACCACAGTTTTGACTCCATTATTATAATCACATGTATTTGACTGAAGAAGCCTGCTGTACAGATATTTCAACAGCAAAGATACCCAAGTGTTGCTCGTGTGTGCCATTCATCCTTTGATTCGTTGCATCTCACTGCCCTTCACATTCAACATTGGCTCTGCCGCATCTACAGTAAACACAGTGAAGTTGTACTTTCTTCGGTCCCTCATAATGCAGGAATTCAAACAAAATATTATATTCATGGGAAAGCACTAAACCCATAGGGGTCATACAGTACCTGCTGCACGTTATAGTGACATTTGCTATTTTCTTGACTATAGAATATTAATTTGGGTATTACTGGATTGCTGGTTGTATCACTCGAGTTTTCATTAGTGACCAACAAACTATTTTACTTTAAACCATAATTGGGCTTTTAGTTGTCTTGCCTTGAATGCTGGAGGAAATGGAGCTTGTGTGCCCACAAATGGGATGCTAGATTCAAGTGGCTATCATACGGAGGGATGCTAGATTCAAGTGGCTATCATACGGAGGGATGCTAGATTCAAGTGGCTACCATACGGAGGGATGCCCAGCACCACTGCGAGAGTTGTCAGGTCATACTGATAGTTCACCCCACGGAAGGCTCCTTGATACCAGTGAGGGGCTCATGTTACGAATTAAACAGGTTGGATGCACCCTGGTTGCCTTCCATTCACTAGGCACTGTATGACCCCTACAGTTTTAGTGGTTCCCCCTTTTCTCCAAAATTGGTTTCCAAGCAATAACTAGATGTCGGCGGATGGGTTTATGAAGGATGAGGTTAATCATAGAATTGATGAGGGAAAAAAGGTGAGTGGTGCGTTGAGGTATATGTGGAGTCAAAAAACGTTATTTATGGAGGCAAAGAAGGGAATGTATGAAAGTATAGTAGTACCAACACTCTTATATGGATGTGAAGCTTGGGTGGTAAATGCAGCAGCGAGGAGACGGTTGGAGGCAGTGGAGATGTCCTGTCTAAGGGCAATGTGTGGTGTAAATATTATGCAGAAAATTCGGAGTGTGGAAATTAGGAGAAGGTGTGGAGTTAATAAAAGCATTAGTCAGAGGGCAGAAGAGGGGTTGTTGAGGTGGTTTGGTCATTTAGAGAGAATGGATCAAAGTAGAATGACATGGAAAGCATATAAATCTATAGGGGAAGGAAGGAGGGGTAGGGGTCATCCTCGAAAGGGTTGGAAAGAGGGGGTAAAGGAGGTTTTGTGGGCAAAGGGCTTGGACTTCCAGCAAGCGTGTTAGATAGGAGTGAATGGAGATGAATGATACTTGGGACCTGACGATCTGTTGGAGTGTGAGCAGGGTAATATTTAGTGAAGGGATTCAGGGAAACCGGTTATTTTCATATAGTCGGACTTGAGTCCTGGAAATGAGAAGTACAATGCCTGCACTTTAAAGGAGGGGTTTGGGATATTGGCAGTTTGGAGGGATATGTTGTGTATCTTTATACGTATATGCTTCTAAACTGTTGTATTCTGAGCACCTCTGCAAAAGCAGTGATAATGTGTGAGTGTGGTGAAAGTGTTGAATGATGATGAAAGTATTTTCTTTTAGGGGATTTTCTTTCTTTTTTGGGTCACCCTGCCTCGGTGGGAGACGGCCAACTTGTTGAAAAAAAAAAAAAAACTAGAAAGCCACTTCTGATGAGCTTCAAATTTTCAATATTCATGTATCCTACATAGAAGAGGATTGATATTGTTAATGGAGTGTTTAAATGCCATTTTGCCACTTAAAAAAATAACATAGTAATATTTTGCATTAAAATACTTATGCTTCCTCATGAGAAATACCTCGATGCTTGTGAAGGGCTTTTGATCCAAGGAACTGGATTTATTCTTCCCTTGGATTAAATATAAATTCTTCCCTTCCACAAGTGCTGTATAACCCCTGTGGGTTTTGCACTTTCCCCTGATTAAAATAAAAATTCTGAACAGTCACTTGAATGGCTGATGCATCATTTGAAATGCTTGAAACTTTCTTTGGGGGATAAAAGTTGCGAGGGTGCAAATTTTGTTGGATTCTGTGCAATAACTGGAGATTGTGTTCATCACAGAAAGCTTCGCTTTTATTTAAGATTGTGTTAATTTTATTATTGAAATTGGCTTGTGTGATATAATTTGAGAATCTCTTCTGATCCATAATAACTCTGTGGTTGATTTTATTTGGTTGTTCTTGGTTAAATGTACAGAATGTACTTATGTGCATATTATATATGTATCTTAGGAACTGGACTAGTACTCTAATTCCTTGAATCAAGCCTAAATGCCTTCCATTCCTCAAGGCACTGTATGTCCCCTATGAGTTTAGTGCTCTCCCATGAATGTAATAATAATATGTGCAGATAATACCAGTGTGCCCTTAAGATTATTGTAAAGAAATTGAATATTATTTATCCAAACCCTAAATGAAACTATATACTTAATCATTGGCTTAAATGTTGCTCAGTCTTACTCAGAGGACAGTTTGGATTTCTTATAACCTGTGTAGGTCCCAATTTGCTTTTTTTTTATGGAAGAAATTGGGAATATTAAAATACTGGCTTTTATGCAATAACTTGCAGTGCTTCATGGTGTTGGTTTCAGTCTTCCATGCTTATAACTTGTGAGTGCTTCATGGTGTTGGCTTCAGTCTTCCATGCTTATAACTTGTGAGTGCCTCATGGTGTTGGCTTCAGTCTTCCATGCTTATAACTTGTGAGTGCCTCATGGTGTTGGCTTCAGTCTTCCATGCTTATAACTTGTGAGTGCCTCATGTCTCCAATCTTCCATGCTGATACGTAATTTGATAATTTACCTCCCAAGCACCTTCGAACTTAATAGTATACTGGTATATTTTAGGATACTGGTCTCTCTGAGATAGGATAATACCTCTGAAGCTTAGCTTCAAAGCTGTGATTTCTTATTAATAATATTTAATAATAATAATGGAAAGTTTGAATTAGTTGGGCAGTGCTACCCTAATTTAGCATTTTTATTGAAAATGGGATATTAGTTTCCATGACTTGTGAATACCTCTTCTCATTCACTTCATATTTTCATTATTGTTGTTTAAATGCATTACAAACTTTTGATGCACTCTGTACCATTCCTATCACATGCATTGAGGTACTGTATGGGAACACCTTACTTGGATCATGCAGCCAACGAATTGGTGTCACAATTTACACCAGGATCATGTCCTGCTATTGGTCTTAATCAAGTGACCACCCACCTTACATCTAGTTGTTTATTATTGTTATTATTATTTGGGACCTGCAGCCCTACCTGGGGTCTACCTGGAGGGTATTCCAGGGATCAACGCCCCTGCGGCCTGGTCTACAACCAGGCCTTCCAGTGGATCAGGGCCAGATCAATCAGGCTGTTACTGCTGGCTGCACGTAGTCCAACATACGAACCACAGTCCAGCTGATCTGGCACCGACTTTAACTATCTGTCCAGCTCCCTCTTGAAGGCAACCAGGGGCCTATTGGTAATTCCCCTTATGGCTGGTGGGAGGCTGTTGAATAGTACTGGGCCCTGGACACTTATGATGTTTCCTCTTAGTGTACCAATGGTGCCCCTACTTTTCATTGGGGGTACTTTGCACCACCTGCCCAGTCTTTTACCTTTGTAGGGAGTGATTTGTGTGTGCAGATTCGGGACTAGGGCCGGCCTTAAGCCAATCAGTCCGATTGTTTCCAATTGGGCCCCACACCTAAGGGGGCCCTGTGCTAGTGTAATCTACTCTCGGCTTGTCAAGTACACACAACAACATGAAGTAAATAAAAAGGGGCATCTGGAGAAAGGAGTTTTTCCAAGCCGAAACTGATCAAAATGTACTTGAGATCATCAATTCAGCAAGAACGTGTGAACAGTTTGACGATGTCCATTGAATCTGAAATTAGCAGGAGTTAAAATTTTGTTTGTTACTTGTAGGCTTACATGTATGCAATTTTATATTAAAATGTAGCTTACATCTGTTTGGTCTATTAACTTGCATGAATTTTTTAAGCACACAG